ATGTCAAATATACAGGGCATGGTTTTCGAACACACACCCTCATTTAATTATTTTAGACTCGTTTTATGACTCACTTCATGATTGCTCACCACGTTTGCTTAGTCAACAAGGCCACGATATCATCAAATGTATGAAACACCCAGTGATCTAACACACACACACACACACACACACACACACAGATAGACAGATATATAGATATATAGACAGACAGACAGACAGATAGATAGATAGATAGATAGATAGATAGATAGATAGATAGATAGATAGATAGATAGATAGATAGATAGATAGATAATTTCTATTATAGTTATTTATCATATTGTTCAGTAGGTAAACCTGTCTTTATTTATATCAGCGGTGTAGTTCATAGATGCTGAAATGCTCAAGTACAGTTTAATGTACAAAATACAAACAGCAGTCTATATTTATTTGCTTGTTAAATATTGAAAATTAGATTTGTACTCTTCTTTACCGAGAACTAAACATTATACACACAAGCGCACTCAAATATGATTTATCACTGTCATTTGGAAAAATAAAACGGTGAAAGCACTATTTTTGGGTGTAAACAGCAGTCTAAAACTATTTAGGACAAAGTCTTAAATAATAAATATAGTGTCATATGGCTTGCCGAACAATTAAAAGTCAAATAGCCAAACTGTTTTAGAAGGTAAGGGATTATTTTTGTTAAATTAAATTTCATTTGTATAACCATTTTGTCACACCCTCAGCTCATTCCTGCTCCACCAATCACCGCTCTTCCTCACAAACCACCTCTCTCTAATCCCGTGAGCCATTACCGGCCTTCTAATCACCTGCACCTGTTACCCCTCATCAAAGACACTATAAAGACCCACCTCATTCTTCCACACATTCGCTGATAAAACATTCTGATGGTTTTCCTCACTTTCATCTTCTCTGCTTCTTCCATAGGCCTTTGGATCCTTAACCTGCTGATTAAGGGCAATGATTACTCTAATATGGTGCTTACTAGAAGATCTACATTTTCGTCACCTTGGAATAATAAGGTTCTATCTGCGTTCTTAATGATTTTGAGATTTAGCTTTAAAGTTTTTGTTTTCCATAAGGGCAACTCGTATGTGTAACATTTAGTTTTGTTTTTTTTAAATAGTCTTAAATGTAAACCACTTTATAACAAGGCATTCTATAATGTAAATAAGCTGTCAATTAATAAGACTGTCAATAACTCAATTTTGACAAATGTCAGCGAGGCTTATAATTCTAAGGTGACGATTTACCTGTTCAACTGCGTGTCTGCATACCCACCTTCTGATGTTCTCAAGAACGAACTGTGTGTGTGAGATCGCTAACATCAGATGTTTACATTACAAGCTGTTGAAGATCGCAAACCGATTTAACACCACTCTCCTGCTTCATCACTTTGATTCAGTGACTTGTGTTGAATAAAACTAATAAAAGAGAACCTTCCTTGTCTACCAGCGTGAGTTTTTTTTTTTTTTTTTTTTTAATTTTTTTACAATTATCGTTTTAAAGCCACTGCACATTGCTGGATTACAATCAAATTTGGAAAAAGGTTATCAGTTACCATGGAATACAAATAACTTTAACTAATCAACTAGTTGTTGCTGCCAAAACAGTATTTAGACAACTAAAATTAAACAATCACTAGCTTTCTTATTTCAGCATGTTAGCTATGTGTACAATTTGTTTTACAGTTTTTTTTTTTTTATTTGTTTAAATGTATAGTAAGATGTGTGGTGGCAGAGTAGGGAGCGCTGTTGCCTCACAGCAAAATGTTCATTGGTTCAAGTCTCGGCTGGATCAGTTGGCATTTCTGTGTGGAGTTTGAATGTTTTTCCCATGTCCAAGTGGGTGTTCTAGTTTTCCGCAAAAGTCTAAACACATGTGCTATAGCTAAATTAGGCTAAATTCTGTAGTGAATGAGTTTATGGGTGTTTTCCAGTGACAGCTGGAAAGGCATCTGATGCGTAAAACATATGCTGGATAAGTTCGCGGTTCATTGTGCTGTGGCGACCCATGAATAATAAAGGTACTAAGCCGAAAAGAGAATGAATGTAGTTATATAACATTTAAATAGCAGAAAGCTCACTTGAATACTTTTCCTCAACTCTAATATTAGTGTCTGATATTTATTGTGGGAAGGCATAAAGAAGTATTGTTCTAATCCAAAGAGTATTTATTATTATTATATTATTATACCCATTAGCACATACTATTTTTGGTACTAGTTTATAATAATACACAAATCTGTTTTTGCACCATCCTGTCAGTGAGAGTCGAGTTTAGCACATCCCCAACCAAGGGGTGAAAATTATATCTCACCTTTGTGATGTGTAAAACCTAAGTTATTCAGAGAGCTAGAATGAAATAACATCAAGTGCATGTGCACTGTAAAGCCCAATAATTTCAGATAACTCAAATCATTTGAGTAAACCGATTGCAACAAACCATTTAAGTTCAAAAACTAATTCTAATGAGTACTGTGAACTTAAATCTGTTCAAATCAAAATCACTCACCGGTCACTTTATTAGGTACACCTTAATAGTACCTGGTTGGACCTTTTTGCCTTCAGAACTGCCTTAATCCTTCGTGGCATAGATTCAACAAGATACTGATATATTCCTCTGAGATCCATATTGGCATGATGGCATCCTGGTCTACCACATCCCAAAGGTGCTCTCTTGGATTGAGATCTGGTGACTGTGGAGGTCATTTGAGTACAGTGCACTCCTTGTCATGTTCAAGAAACGAGTCTTCCAGGATTTCAGTAGATCAGCAGTTTCTGAAATACTCAGACCAGCCCATCTGGCACCAACAACCATGCCACGTTCAAAGTCACTTGAATCACCTTTCTTCCCTAATCTGATGCTCAGTTTGAACTTCAGCAGATCGTCTTGATCATGTCTAACGTTATATGCCTAAATGCGTTGAGTTGCTGCCATGTGATTCGTTGATAAGAAATGTGCGTTAAGCAGTTGGAGAAGTGTACCTAATAAAGTGGCCGGTAAGTGTATATTCCTTTATCGATTGTTTTCCCATTTACTTAGCATCCTTTCAGTATCGCCTTTTTTTAGCCACGTTGAAACAGAAACGGTCCCTTTCGCTGCTTCTTTCTTCAGATTTTCTTTAAATTTTTTCCCTCTTTCATTTGAAACTAGCTTTACGTTATAACAAAAAGAAAGCGGGTAACTTACATTAACACATGCCCTCTTAAGCTATGTTTAAAATCTAAGTTAAGCAATGACGCTAAACACACAACTCACCTTAAATGTCCGTTTTGTTTTTATCAAGGTAAAGCTTAGCTAAGATAAATAGTAGCAAAGCTACTCGACGTCACGTTGCTATAGCAATGGCGCCAGAGGCATATGTAAACAAACGAATTTCGTCTCGAGTTATTGATGTTCGTTGCTGATTTTCTCGTGTTCTTATATTAATTATCATAAGTTAAATGCATTTTGTTTGTCTCCGTGTTTTGATAGCACTTTTAACTAGTTTAAAAGGGGGAGGGGTGCTACCTTGAACATAAAGCCTAAGTACAAATTCAGTCAGATGCATGTCAAAAGATCTCTTTTGGCCGTTTTCAAGTCGTTAAGAAACTGTTCAGAACAAATGCATTAGCACACACTGGTCTATAAAAGGAGGAGATAAGATTATCATCTGAATGATCGATGCAAAACGACCTACAGCTCAGCTTCTGTTTGATCTGATAACGATTCATTGTCCTTATCGGGCTTCGTCTGCACCTCTTTTCAACTTTTCTTAGAGCTTTTTTCTTGTTTTTAGTCCAAATATCTACACTACCTGACAAAAGTCAAAAGTTTTAGGAACAACAAATAATAAGTTGACTTCTAGTTGATCATTTGTTATCAGAAGTGGCTTATATGAAAGGCAAGGGCCTCTAGATTACTCTTATGTTACCAATATAAACTATGATCATGCCTTGATTTTTAATTATTTTATTAGGACTGTAAGATCTGACTTTGCTTAGACAAAAGTCTTGTCACTTAACAGAAATGTACAGTTTAGAATATAAAGTCATGCTGCAGTGGAAGAAGAATTAACATTGTGTATGATTCCCATGAGCTTGGAGGACTGCATCCATACATCTCTGCAATGACTCAAATTACTTGTTAATAAAGTCATCTGGAATGGCAAAGAAAGCGTTCTTGCAGGACTCCCAGAGTTCATCAAGATTCTTTGGATTCATCTTCAACGCCTCCTTCATCTTACCCCAGACATGCTCAATAATTTTTATGTCTGGTGACTGGGCTGGCCAATCCTGGAGCACCTAGACCATCTTTGCTTTCAGGAACTGTAATGTGGAGGCTGAAGTATGAGAAGGAGCGCTATCCTGCTGAAGAATTTGCCCTCTGCTGTGGTTTGTAATGTAATGGGGAGCACAAATGTCATGATACCTCAGGCTGTTGATGTTGCCATCTTTTCCAAAATTTCTAAATTCTTGGGTCAATGCGGGTTCCAATAGGTCTTCTGCAGTATTTGTGATGTTTGAGATGCAGTTCAACAGATGATTCATCAGAAAAATAGACCTTCTGCCACTTTTCAAAATGATCAACTAGAAGTCAAGTTTTTTTTTGCTCTTACAACTGGGATCGACGACAAGACTTTTGCCAGGTAGTGTAAAATAATTTAAGAACCATTTTTCCCAAAACAACTCTTTTTCAGCAATGAGTCGAAATTTCCGTAAAGCAAGCAAAACAGTCTGCCATTGGTGCAAGTAAAGCAATTCTGTTTCAAACCTAAAACACTGAATACTTTATACAGATTATTTTGCTTGTTTTAAGGCTAAAACTCACTTAATTTTGACTTATTATTTCTAAAAACAACATAGTCTAAAAATGCTTCTTGATTTAAGAATTTTAAGATATCTGAAGTAGAACTAACACAGAAAGAAAAGCATTTCAGCAGCGTTGAATCTGAACCCAAGCGTTTTCCTCAAATTTTCTTTTTTTAAATCAAAAGGCACACATTTCAGTAAGTTTTTCATTTGTACACAATGGTTTTGTACAAAATTTATATAAGAAAACATATGAATATCCGGTCTACTTTCAAAAATAAAATACTTGAACACTAGGCTCCATACAGCATGCGCAACACACAAATCATCAGTTCACTTTAAATACTTCAAGTAATGTTTGTTCAATAGCTTAGTGGGCTCATCACAAAGCCTCTCGGCAGACAATGGCTCCTGGTCGTCAGCACAGCCAATACAGTGGCACCAACACATCATGATCATTTCACACGATCATTTCAGGCGTCAGTATAATGTAAACATGTGGACCTCTAGAACGGAGTCACATATTGTACGAACACAAACGTGTATACACACATACACATTCTCTCTCTCTCACACACACACACACACACACACACGCGCAGAGAGTCCATTCAGGTCTCCAGAGTTTGTTTGTTCCTTCAGATTACTCCATTTCACTGAGAGACAGATTAATAAAAGTCAAATCAGGCCTGATCTCTCGTTTAACAGCTCCAGAGGTTGAAGAAAGCGCTGCTGATGGACTAATTCGCCACGACACGGGAGCGCATCCAGTCTAGACTGGCTGGTAAACTGTGGAGGGAAAGAGAAACAGGTGGTTAAAGGTTGTATAAATGGCTCATATTGAGGATTGGAAATATTTATCAACTAAGCAAGGGGCTGTTCATACAGAATGCGTATTTGCATCTAAATATGTGAGATGTGGTATTTAGAAATGATTTTAATAAAAGCGCTCGCAGTACTGCGTGTAAAAAGGTTAAATTCTTTTAAGTTGATGCGTAACAGAAGTGTTACAATTAGGACGATAACCATTTTCAAGGTATACCGAGCAGGCCCGCATTGGCTAATTGAGAAGACCGGGATAATTCCCGGTGGGCCGGTCCGTTTTTTTGGCCGTGAGTGCCGGTGTCTCTTGCTGCTTGCACTCTCAGCAGTCGCACTTTTTTTCATTTATTTATTTATTTGACCATAGCCTCACTCTTTTTATTTATTTTCTCGCAGATCCGTTAGCAAAATGCAACCTGCCGGTTAATGATGAAACAGCGGCACCTTAGTGAATATAAGAATTCAAATAATTAATATTAATGAATATTACACCTGCTCAATGAAAATCTGATGATTCACTACATTAATAAATCTGACATAACGTGATCAGAAATCTAAAAAAGGGGAGAAAAAGATTAAGCCATCAATAGAAAGTAATACTATGGTTAAAAGAGTCTTGCAGATAACAGATAACAATATTTATTTTTTATTCCAGGCACACCAATGTAACAGCACTGTTGTGGTCCAGTGGTCAGCATGTTGTGTTACAACGCTGCCGATCAGAGTTCGAACCTCACCTGAGTAAATATTTAATTAGTTTTTTTTTTTTTTTTATTTATTGTGTAAGACATATAATACTGTTTGGGTTGTTGAACTTTGAAGTTCTAAAGCAGCTGTTTTCTTGAAAAAGACCTGATAGTGTCATTAGAAACGGAATTAGAAATGACATGATTTTAATATAGTCAGTCGTGAACTGAGGTGGGCCGTCTAAGGCTTGAAACTCCAGGGCTGAAAAGGAGTCTTACTCCGGCCCTGATACAGAGGTTTGGAAAAGTCAAAGTTTTTAAACCGCCACCATGTTCTGCTATACCGTTCCTATGGTATGTGTAAGATTTTTTATTGGCATTTTTTTCAGATTTTTAAAAAAACAGTATCACCAGCAGAAAAAAATGTCCAAAGATGCCATTTTAAATTGTAAAGAAATCTGTGTTTTTTTTTTAAACTAACGAAGACAGCAGCCTGACATGTTTACAGCTCCAAAATATTTTAAATGTTTCTCAAAAGAAAATATATTGTGTTAAAAGGGGAAAAAGTTGTAGTTTTTTCAGTGTGTCTGCAGAGTCTTCAATTTAAAAACCTAAATTTAAGGCCTTAAAAAATTCACTGAAATATGCTGTTATGTATATATACAGTTAAAGTCAGAATTATTAGCCCCCTGAATTATTAGCCGCCCTGTTTATTTTTTCCCCAATTTCTGTTTAACAGAGAGAAGATTTTTTCAACACATTTCTAAACATAATAGTTTTAATAACTCATTTCTAATGACTGATTTATTTTATCTTTGCCATGATGAATACATAATAATAAATAACATTTGACTAGATATTTTTCCAGACACTTATATACAGCTTAAAGTGACATTTAAAGGTTTAACTAGGTTAATTAGGTTAACTAGGTAGGTTAGGGTAATTAGGCAAGTTATTGTATAACGATGGTTTGTTCTGTAGACAATCGAGAAAAAAATATAAAGCTTAAAGGTGCTGATAATTTTAACCTTAAAATGGGTTTTGATAAATTAAAAAGCTGCTTTTATTCTAGCCGAAATAAAACAAATAAGATTTTGTCCACAAGAAAAAATATTATCAGACATACTGTGAAAATTTCCTTGCTCTGTTAAACATCATTTGGGAAATATATATATATATATATATAAAAAAGAAAAACATAAAAAATTCAAATGGGGGTTAATAATTCTGACTTCAACTGTGTATATATAACTTTTAAAAAATGCCAGGGCACATATCTATAGTTTTTGGAGCCCTTAATGCAAATCCATTTGATGCAATCTGATAAATATATGCACTCATGTAAAGCACTCTTACCCTTCCCCGGTGAGCGCGCAGCAGGCCTGCACATGCCAGGATCGAGCGGTGAGTGAACTGAGGGTTAGACTCTGAGAGATTTCTGCTGCAGTCATACTGTCCTCCATGTCCTGTTTATTTGCCAAAACCAGCACTGATGCATTCTGGAGATCCTGAGTGGAGAGATGAGATTCAACAGTCAGTATAAAAAAAATTATAATTATGCTGAAAACAATTAGGACAAGGGCTGGTCCCTCTTGGGTTAGTCCAACCCAACCTTGATTTAATCATTTGTTTGCAAACCCAATGTTTAAACAAATTAGGGACTATCATACTCATACTGAGTGTTAACATATTTTTTGTGTAATATATCGAACATTTTGCTGAATTGAGTTATAATTGTGCGATGAAATTGTGTTGATTCAGAAATAAAATATGTGTGCAATGTTTACTGATTTCATATACTTTAATTTTATTTCTTTTTTTACTTTTTGGGGTATGTTAATCATTTATAAGCAAATAGACAACAGTAGCTTTTTGCTCAAATGTATCATTTATTGTTTCTAAATAGAGACATTATTTTGAACCAGGGTTAAAGAGGTTATAATTACCAAAACATTTTTTAATTTAAACTATTAAGGTTGGCCAACTACAAGAAATTAATAAAGTGTAATATTTATTAAACATTATATATCTTTAATATACAAAAAAATATAATGTTTAATAAAACATAAACATGCAATATTTAAAACTGATTTAAAGAGAAATTACTAAAACAAATTCAACCTAAACTAAAGTATATCTTTATAATCGAAACAAAAACTAAACATATTAAACAAAAAGCTTATTCAATATATATATATATATATATTTATATAAATAATCAAACTAACTCCGTATAAAAGGTCTTCACAGTCATACACAAAATGGTAGAAGTAGAATATCTTATGTATTTAATAAAGGTAAAGGTAGGTTTACAGATATCAGAATTATTAGCCCCTTTTTAAATTTCTTTTTCTTTTTTAAATATTTCCCATATGATGTTTAACAGATTCAGGAAATATATTTATATATAATATAAAATATTTCTGATAATATTTTTTTCTTCAGGGGAAAGTCGTGTTTGTTTTATTTTGGCTAGAATAAAATAAGTTTTTATTTTTTTAAACCCCATTTAAGGTTAAAATCTTTAGCCCGTTTAAGCTATATATTTTTCCCGATAGTCTACAGAACAAACCATCATTATACAATAACTTGCCAAATTACCCTAACCTACCTAATTAACTTAATTAACCTAGTAAGCCTTTAAATGTCACTTTGAGCTGTATAAAAGTGTATTGAAAAATATCTAGTCAAATATTATTTACTGTCATCATGGCACAGATAAATTAAATCAGTTATTAGAAATTAGTTATTAAAACTATTGTGTTAAGAAATGTTAACAAAAAAAAAAAAAAAGGGGGGGGGGGTGAATCTTAATCCAAAATTTAAAAGAAAACATATGAAATTCTAAAAACAATTCAACTATAAACAAAAGCTTCAACGACTACTCTGTGATACTAAAATAACCAGCAAAGTGCACGAGATGCCCATCATGAAACATTCATGACAAGAGCATCATAAAGCAGGTGAATGCAAAACAAACCAACCTCGTGTGCCAGCATGCGATGAAGCTCCTCTTTAGTTACAGTCAGGCGTTCTCGATCAGTGCTGTCAACCACCAGGATGATAATCTGCAGAAGGATTCAGATTATACATTTGATGAAAGTGCATTCCAGGAACAACACACAACAACCAGCATTAGACTTTTATGAGAGCAGCACATCATGCAGGTGCACACATACACACCTCTGTATTCGTGTAATAGGAGTTCCAGGTAGCTCTGAGACTCTCCTGCCCTCCAATATCCCAGACAAGAAAGCGTGTCTTCTTTATGGCGATTTCCTCTACGTTGCTTCCAATTGTGGGAGACGTTTGTACTGCTTCTTTCGTTAAACTGGAGAGAACAGGGCATAGATGGTTCAATGAGGTCATTATAACAATACACAGTGTTAGTATCAGTGATTCATCTGTTTATACTTCCAAGAAAAAAAAAAACACTTACAATTGGTAGAGGATGGTGGTCTTTCCAGCGTTGTCCAAACCCACAATAATCACTTTGTGTTCTGAAAAGAGGAGCCCAAACACACAGTTTAATCTGACTGTGTGTGATCAGACATATAAGAATGTTCTGAACATGAAATCTATGAAACACACTTCTGAGAACTCAGTGTTCAGCGATCTGTATCAGTCTGGGTTAAGCAAAGTTTAGAAAAACTTGGGGAGATTGGTGTAGAATAACGACAGGCAAGCAGAACTTGTGATCTTTGAACGCGTACAATCTTATCTGACGTGTGTGTCTGTGTGTGTGTGCAGACTGAACAGAACATCCTGCATCAACATGCATTTCTCAGTGACACGCTCCTGATGTGATTTAAAGGCACTTATCACATGTAAAGCTTGCGTAATCGTTCGCAGTTCCACACTATCACTTTGTGGTTACTCTGTAATTTGACTAGTACATTCGGTTCTACACAACTCCTTCATGTTATCCCAACACAATTTGATTAAGTTAGTTTTTTATAAATTTAAGTGGATTAAACATGAAACAATTTAGTTAATTAAGCTAAGAATTGAGTTGTTTCAACTCATTTAAAATTGAACAAGCAGCAATAGTCATTTATCTGAGTGTACTACATCTTAACTAATAGCCATAACAGATGAGAGTAACTTTAGGTGATGTTTAGTTCATTTGTTGAGGGAAGGTTAAAATAAAGTGTTGGTAGACATTGGGAACTTCAATCCTTGCTTGTTATAAGTTAATATACTAGTATAAATAGCATAGACAAGTTCATTATAATTAAGCGTTGACTTCATATTTCATACTGGTTAAGTGACTACAGGCAGAGTGCGAATTATACATTGACGATCTGAGGGGTCGACTTTTTCGATAATGTTATTTTGTGTAATACATCCTTCAGTGAGTAAAATGTATGTATTTATTTAAATAACATCTTTTTTTAAATAAAACATTTACGTTTTCAGTGTTTTGTGGGATATTTTGGTGTATTCTGACCTACAATACCCACTAATTTGCTATTATAGAGGTTACTGTAGGTCAAACTACTAACTGTGTATCTAGATTTACTTTTACATCTGAAGTCAGAATTATTACGTAGAAGTGAATGTATAAACAAACTTTATATAGAAACAAACACCTATTTAACAAGAAAAGTGTCTTGTAAACGTCTACCATGTCTAATTGCATAGACTGATTGACGAAATTATGAATTCACAATGGTATAATCTGTTATAATAGTGGTCAAATGTATATTTATATTATCTATTATTTTAATTAGTAATATTTGTATTCAGATACAGATCGGGGGGTTGGAGGGGGCATTTAGACCTTCATCAAAATTACAAATGCGAAATATTGAATAAATCAGAGTTAAAATGGACTTTTATCACAAAACTTTGTAACTATTAACACATAGTAGGACACAAAGTCCCCTGGAGTAATGTTACAAACTGTTTCATTTCTCAGTCATCAGGACTCAATGTTATTGTTCTCTTGTATTGAGGTAAAGTTTGTTTTGTATTCGCACATTGGTTCAGTGACAACTTGTGACTCACTCCCTATATTGTTTACCATGGTACTTTGAATAATCAGTCTTGAATCATATTCAAGTATGACTTGAAAACAACACTATTTATTTGTCTGTGAACAATGTTATATGCATTAATAGTCATTGGCTGCTAATATAATTTCACTATTTAAAATTTGCAAAGAATACCTGTGAAATTATATTATTGAAGGGAAAATCTGAACATGTGGATATAAAACAACTTTACCTCAATTTCTCTTCTTTGTGGCTAAAAACAAGTAATACATCTTAGCTAAAGTTATAACAAGAGGGACTTTACATAATAATAAATGTTTTGATTCTTAACGTATTAATAATGAATAACAATAGTAGGACACAAAGTGCAGAGGAAAAACAAAACAAACAGTTTAGTTTTTTAATAAGCAGGACATAATGTTGTTTTTTTTTTGTTTGTGAAATAAGTAATATATCTTAGATAAAGATGTAAAAAGAGGCACTTCCACATCATAATAAAAGTTCCAATTCCTAATATATTTATAAATTAATACGTTAAAAATAGTAGGACACAAATTTCAGAAGAGTAACATTACAACCTGTTTAGCTTCTCAATAAGCAGGACAGAATGTTAACTAATGTTGTATTTGTGACAGTAAAAAAGGTAATAGCTACATCTTAACTAAAAGTTAAAACACTTTAACTTTAACATAATAATACATGTTTCTAGTCCTAACCTATTAATAATGAATACATTAACAATAGTAGGACACAAAGTCCTGAGGAGAAACATTAGTTTAGTTTCTCAGTAAGCAGGACAGAATGTTAGCTAATATTATTTTGTTGTGACTAAAAAAGATAACAGCTACATCTTAACTAAAGTTATAACACTTTACCTTAAACATCATAATAAATGTTGCCTGTAATATCAAAAGACTCTTAAAGTAACATGTTGTGATATTGTTTATCTCTTACCTCTGTCTCCGAACAGAGTCATCAGTTTGGCGAACAGGAGTCCCATTTCTGAACGCTGTGAATTTAAAATATAGTCAATCGACCACAGCAGCTTTTAATAGTCTCCTGGATCCGTTGATTCTTTAATTACAGTGAGCTGTAGACACTTTCACAGTCCGGTTAAAAACAATGATCCACGAGCGACAGTACTCCGCTGTTCTGGTGTGTCAAGTCCTCTTCACTGCACTCGTTCCCTGAGTGTCTGTCTGCTGTTAAATCGGTGTCTGATACATAAAATATCGCGTCGGAATACGAAATGTCGTCGTGTTTTCCGTGGGCGTTTGTATGTTTAAACGATGAGTAGTGACGCAGGGGTCGCTTCACAAAACGGCATCCCTCATTGGCCACCCACGACGATGACGCGAGATTTCGAACAATTCCTTTTGTCCGTATTCAGAGCTGGGCGGCCGCTCTTGTGCTTTCATTTCCGCTTCACAGTGGAATTTTAGAGAAAGGCGCTCCAACCCGAAAGTAAAAGAGCTGGTGGAATTCCCAATACTCGACCACATAAACACACTAGTTTCCTTTATGTCACGTGGTGTTTTTCTGACTAGCATAACTCTTTCCAATCAATCAATAATCTTACTTGATATTTTCTTTCAGGTCCGATATAGAAGAAATACAGCATCACTAATCAATATATCTCAATATTACATAACAATGCAATATTATAAACTGCACTGTTAAAAAATACTAGTCATCTTACATTTTACTAGTCAGCTTACAGCTGAATCAAATAATTTTTTTGAGTTATTTTAACCTATATTGTTAAACCGACTTAAAACAGCTTGTAAAACCAAGTAAATCTAAGTTTACCGTTTTCTAACTTGATTTTTATAAGTTACTATAACCTAAAACACATGCTGTCATGATTAATTGATCATATAATGTTTTTACAGTGTGTAATATTGACTGGTATCAGCTTTAAGGGATAGTTCACATTAAATGAACAATTGCTATTAATTTATTCACCTAAACCCAAGATAAGGGTTAATTATGTTTTTTGTAGAGCATTAAAGAAAAAGATTTGTAGCTGAAAATGTGTTTTTTATTGATTCATAAAATGTGAGTCAACAGCTACTACACTGTAAAAAAAAGTTGAACCTAAAATTAAGGCAACCAGCTTCAGGACATTTTCGAGTTGACTCAACTTTCAACCCAAGTTCTGGACTTGACTTAATTTAAGTTGAGTAAACTCAAAAAATTCCAGAAGCTGGTACAGTAGCAGTAGTTTTTTTCTCCCACAAGTGGTTTTAAAGTCCTAAAGATTTTCTTTCTTCTGTTAAACACAAAAGAAGATAGTTTGAAAAATGCCGGTTTGCTGGAAAAAAATACTGTGGAAGTCAATGGGTGCCAGCAACATTTTTCAAAATATCCTCTTTTGTGCGTGTTTAACAGAAAAAAGAAACTCAAACAGGTTTGAAGCCTGAGTAAATGAGGGCAGAATGTTAATTTAACTGTCCTCTTCAAGATAGTAGTATTTACTTTCTAACACAGATTGATTGTTGTGCTTCATCTATCATCTGAAATAATGGATATTACATTTATTTAGCCTGAATGCTTTTTTTTTCCTTAAAGTTGAATAGCTGTTTTTTGAATCACCAAGTAACACTGTTTCAGCTAAAAATAAATATTTAGAAAAAAAATGCTCAATGCTGGTACTTGTCGACTTTTATACTAAGAAAAAAAAAAATACTATGGAAGTCAATGGGTGGCAGCAGCATTTTTCAAAACATCTTCTTTTGGTATGTTCAGTTCAACAGAAGAAAGAAACTCAAGTTTGAAAGTTGAGTAAATGATGGCAGAATGTTCATTTAACTGTCCTCTTTAAGATAATAATTGTTTTGCTTAATAATACCTCGTTAATAAGACCTCATCTAAAAAAAAACAATGGGTATTACATTTATTCATCCTGAATAAATTGTTGACTAGCTGCTGACACTTTTTGAATCACCAAGGAACACGGTTTCAGCAAAAAAAAAAAAAAAAAAAGACTGAAACTTATCGATTTTCATAGTGAGACAAAATACTATGGAAGTCAAAGGTTACCAGCATAATTTTTCAAAATATCTTCTTAATTCAAACAGGTTTGAAGCATGAGTAAATGATGGCAGAATGTTCATTACCTGTCCTCCTTAAGAATATAATTACTTTCTTTCACAGATTGGTTGTTTTGCTAAATAAGACCCTTTAAGCTGTATTTTTTGAGTCTACAGAACAAACCATCGTTATACAATAACTTGGCTAATTACCCTAACCTGCCTAATTAACCCAGTTAAGCTTTTAAATGTCACTTTAAGCTGTATAGAAGTGTCTTGAAAAATATCTAGTCTAATATTGTTTACTGTCATCATGGCAAAGATAAAATAAATTAGTCATTAGAAATGAGTTGTTTGTCAGCGCAATAGCCTAGTGGTTAGCGTGCTGACATATGGTGCAGTAGCATGTCAAGGCGTCGAGAGTTCAAATCCAGGCTCGAGGACATTTCCCTACCCCCTCTCTCTCTCCCATCCCACTTCACTCTCAAAACTGTCCTATCTAAAAAGGCCAACAATAAACTAAAAAAAAAAAAAGAAATGAGTTGAATAAATCTGCTCTCCGTTAAATAGAAATTGGGGGAAAAAATAAACAGGGGTGAATAATTCAGGGGGTTTATTAATTCAGACTTCAGCTGTATATGTACACATTATTGTGTTAAATATCTTCAGTTATCTATGACTTTACATACCATCTAACAGAGGAACGTTTATTTGGACTTATATTTCTCTCTTCATCAGTCCAAGAAAGCATCCCTATGTTTTCATATGCAGATCAAAGCATTTTGAGATTCTCAATATTTCACGTTCACAGTCAGCAATGCTGGACATGAGTCGCTAAAATCCTTTTTAATGTTCGACTGAAGAAAGGGAAATGTTATATGCTCTGAGGGTAAGTTTATTAAAAGCAAATGTTCATTTCCCCATTAACAATGCCTTTCCAAAACAAATACATTTCCCGCATAAAATGGGAAGTAATGAAAGCACATTTTTACCAAACGTGTAACGTCATGTGCTGTACTTTCTGTTCCTACTGGTATGATCTGAGCACGACGAGTTTCCTGTTGTCACTGTCTTTCTAATTATGTCAAGAGCTGAATCAGGTTTTGAGCACACCCACGCCCGAGGACTTGTGTTTTTGCATTATGAGTCTTTAGGCATGTCATGCTTTGCGCAATTATGTTGTAGTAATGTTAAAATATGGCTAACACTTTATTTTGATGGTCCATTTGAGTATTAGTAGACTGTCTTCTTAATATCTGCTGATACTGCTCCTTCAACAGACATTTAACTGACTGTAAGAAACTTTGCAAGCACATGTCGACTTACACTAACCATAACCTCAACCAAACAGTCTACTTACAGTACAATGAGAATTAGTTGGCATGTAGATGTAATGCAACTTAAATTCAACAAACGGACCATCAAAATAAAGTGTGACCAAAATTAGTCAGGAAATTAAAAGGCATGTTCAGATAATCAATAATACAATTTATTGTCATAATGGACATGCTTTATCAGTGCTGCCAGATTGGAAATGTCCAAGTATCATACCAGAAGCTCAAAATTTCCGTATTTGGAGGAAAATTATCGGACTGTCATGGACCGCAACATAGTGCTGGTTGGATTGAAAGCAGTGCACCCTCCCGAATTTTTAACACACTCTGTGGTGTGTACAAGGCCATTTAGAGTATCTGTAACGAGCCGATTTCGTGGCTTTGTTTTGATGAGATTACCTTGGGAAAAACACGTTCACATGACACATTTGAATGGGGAAAAAGGAGAACATCAAGAGCAAACTCCCCTGTCCTTCTCATGTCCCTTTTCAGCAATACTTTTTAAAACTTTATTGCTTCATCGATCAACCTCAACCTGAAAACAACTGGCTTAAGCATGGTAGCGTGCGACAGGAATGTTAGCTCATGAGAGAGTGCCATTCTCCATGTTGATCAGTTGAGAAAATGTAACATAAGATGAGAAAGAAAACGTGTCTAACTCCACGTTCTCCTCACAGACAGTGGAAAAAAGATGCAGCTGGATTAGGGCTGTCCGAACTCGGTCCTGGAGGGCCGGTGTCCTGAAGAGTTTAGCTCCAACCCTAATCAAACACACCTGAACCAGCTAATCAAGGTCTTGCTAGATATATACTAGAACAGTGGTGTCCAAACTTAATTCTGGAGGGCTGGTGTCCTGCATAGTTTAACTCTATCTAGCCTGGAAGTTTTAGTGTACCCAGAAAGAGCTTGATTAGCTGGTTCAAGTGTGTTAAATCGGGGTTGGAACCAAAGTAATGCAGGACACCAGCCCTCCAGGACTGAGTTTGGCCACCCCTGAGCTAAATCAATAAGTATCGAAGCACTAGGAGTACATTTAAATTAATTTTAAATGCCATAAAATTCTGAAATGATGCTACATTGTAGGAGGTTTTTCATTATTGATCGTACAGAGATAGAAAATATCCTACAAATATGATAATTATTGTACTTCTGGCAACACTGTGCATCATATTGTTATGATAAATACTAATTGTAATATAAGCTTCAGCAGTTTTTGCTTTGAGAAAATTCGATATTACAAAAAACCAGGGGTGACAATCTCAATTTGCTGGAGGGCCGCAGCTCTGCACATTTGCTTTCACACTTACACTTTTGTTTCGGAACGTGTCTCGATTGCCCAGTTAGCGCGGTTCATTTGGCATATGTGAACAGGGCAATCGCGCTCTGTTCCGCGCCAAAGTAATCGCTCCAAGATCGCTTGAATGAGGTGGTCTCGGCTTGATTGAAACGAACCCTGGAGCGGTTTGATTGCAGTGAGAAAGCGATCCGATCCGAGCACGGTTATATGACAGTGTTTTATGGATATGTAATAGGCTTACGGCTATATGAAGAGAGAATTATGAGTAGGGCGGGAAGTTTCGCGAGTCTCCGGATGGTCGCAAACGAGTGATGATCTCCCGGTAATCTCGCGTCTCCTTCCCGGTCCTCAAATAGGCATCGTCGCGCACCCTTCTCACCCCGTCTCTCCTCAGACACGTCGCGCGCGCGCACCCTGTCAATCACCATCAAACCACCACCTCTCCTGACAGCTTAGCGGGACGCTGCAAAATAAACCCTGACACTCTGACCAATGTGAGGTGAGTTTACTCGCACGTGACTTGTTTTAGCTCTTTTGGTCCGATTAGAAA